ACAAAACTTTGCACAAATGTCACAACTAAAAATGGACGAAGTCGGATCATTATTCACTTCATATACCTCCATTTACCTTATATAAAGATTTTCAAAATACTTGCTGACTTTATACGATTTATGCATATCGGTCAATATGCGAGTTTTCTTAATGTAATTCAAAGCACACTTTTCTCTTAATAATTGGTCTTATTGCCGGAAACGAATAATATCGGGTCTATACTATTTGTAGTCCTCACATTCCTAATATAAGAATACAAAATTCCGGTTGGCTTTTTTATCGTATATATCGGCCAAGATGTTTGACATATGAAGTTTCCTCCGAAAAGGTGTGAAATCGGTCCACGAATTACCCCAGTTCTCATATGTACTATTTGGTTGATTTTGGTTGTTTTTTAAGTAAATCTCGCATACATGAAGCAAAATATAGTAATCAAACTAAAACATAATATAAGTTAAAAAGATACCAAATTTAATTTGAAACTGTTGCCAACACCATGTTGCCCCGTTACACCCAAGCGAGAACCTTCCTTACTTATTTGAGGCGAAGTACATCAGAGATTTTGATAAATTTTCTTCTGTCAGCTGCCATAAACTAGAACACCACTTCATAAATTTCTTTTAAAGTATTTTTTTTATGCTCAGTTTTATTATTTTTTATTGCAGATGTTACCTAAACAAAACTTATATTTTTATTTTACATAGCTCACTTTAATAATATATATATAAAAGTCTATGTAGCATAGCGGTACGGAAGTGGAAAGTTCTTATTTTGGAAATTTCATACTGAAATTTACTTAATCTGCTGCATCTACAATGACTTTTAATTTCTTCTTCGTGCATTATGTTTATGTGTTTTGTATGTGCGATAAATCGGCTTACACTGCGTGACGATTCTCAGCATCTCCTTCTGTGGTTAGGCTGCGCAAAGATCTAAAATATATAAAATCAATTAAATATATGAAAATAGTGAGAATTATCATAAGAGCTTATAAATGTTTTAAAAAATGTCAATTCTATAAAATATTTAATTTAATCCTGTAAATATGTAGATGCATTAGAACAACTTCTCTCAATTGCGGCCCCAATAGTTTTGTTAACATTTTAAAAACCATTTCGAACATTATGGCATGAATGTATGTTTTTATGCAAGTGCAAGTTGGTTTTCAGCGCTTGTGTATTAATAAAAATTATAAAACACCTCTTTTAAATTTTAATAATTTCTATAACAGACATATAGCTGTGTTCATAAAAATAGCAGTGCTCATGAGCTGCAACAAACTTAATTTTATATATCAAAAAGGAAATGAATGTTCACAAGTTTAATTTTGTTTTAACTTTGTGATTATTTTAAACAAAAACAAGTCAATTTATTATTCGAAATGTTGTTAATTTTTTTTACATTATTAATTTAAACAAAAAAGTGCTGTTTACAGCTGTTCATAAAAATAGCAGTGAGTAATAAAAACAGTGGAATTAGTTGAAAAAAACATTGTTGAACTCCAAAAAACTATTTTAATTTCTTTGCTTGGGTTAGTACTTAGTCGTGTACCCATTATTTTTTATTACCGCCTGGCATCTGCGAGACCTAGAATTCACCAAGTCCTGGCAGCGCTTGACAGGGATCCGCTCCCATGATTTTTGAACGACCTCCCAAAGCTGTGATCGAGATGTTGGATTTGCATTTGCAACATATCGTTTAACATCTCCCCATAGGTTTTCAATTGGATTTAAATCCGGAGACTGCGCAGGCCATGACATAAGATCGATCCGCTTTGATGCCATCCAGCTTTTGACCAGTTTGCTTGTATGTTTGGGGTCGTTATCTTGTTGAAACGCCCATTTTAGTGGCATTTCCCAATTTACATAAGGAAACATAACATTTTCTAATATGTTAACATATACAGAGCGATCCATGATCCCATCAATCATGAATATAGGGCCCACTCCACTGTAAGAAAAACATGCCCATACCATAATACTCAATCCGCCGTGTTTAACTGTCTTCAAAGTGTACCTAGGATCGTACTCTGTGTTAGGTGGACGTCTGACATATTGTCTGGAGCCCTTTCCACCAAATAACACAATTTTACTTTCGTCACTCCATAAAATATTTCGCCACTTTGTAATGGGCCAATTAAGGTGACTTTTGGCGAACTCCAAACGTGCTTTGACATGTCTGGTGGCTAACAGTGGAACTTTTCGTGGATGGGACGCTTTGAGATTTTGTTCTTTAAGACGTCGCCGAATAGTAACGCCACTAACATTCAAGCTTAAGTCATTTTTTATCTTGCTGAACGATGCACATGCATACTAACACAAAACCACTTACTTTTTATCAATTAAACGTCTTAACAAAATTTTTTTGGCTTATCAAGATACGCACTGCTATTTTAATGAACAGCCATAGACTGGTGCTTCTACCAAAAAGAGTTGTTCATTTGCTTAAATCTCGCATATCTAACGGGATTTTTTCGTTTCTTCCTTATACACATTCCATTCGACAACAACAATGCGTAGACGTTGGAATAATCGTAACGGAACTTGAAAAAGAATAACATTACTTGATTGCATTTCTCGCACTGCTATTTTTGTGAACACAGCTGTACATAGATATGTACAGAGATATACAATATATAGAGCTTCGTTTTACCTTTCTATTCCCATCATTTTATACATTTCATTGTGCCGATCTTTATAAAAGATAAACAACACCCAAAATAACTCTAATATTATATAATTGAACCATTGAACTTTTTTTATTTGCTCGTCAAATGAAGTTTTGCAAATTTTTTCCAAACTCCTATAATCCCTGTAACTGTCTTAAAATAAATTATTTTCAATAAGAATATTTGAGTTTACTGGTTTTATTGCTTTCTAAAAATTATTATTTGTTTGTATTCTGTGGAGGTATATTTAACCAAAAGCTTACTTCATATTTCCCGTTAAGTGGTATCATACACTACACATACATACGCTTATAAACAAATGTAAAATTTTGACATATCAAACCCAACGTTTGGCTCACAATACTCGGTAAGAGAATGGAATTGCGCATCTGCACTACGCCCATTTATGGTATTAAAATAACGATAATAATAATAACAATAATGAATGGAAAACCGATAAGAAATTTACATGTCACATCTATTTAAGGCGAAATCTTTTCGATTGACTTTAAAACGTGATCAGCGCTTTGAAGTTCGTGCTTTTGATAAAATAATATTCATATGGTAGACTGTTGCTGAAATAATTTTTGGTGAATACTTGTTGTAAAACTCATATAGAAAATTGGTGAAATGCATTGGTTTCGCGCATTGACCAAAATTATTTTACTTATGTTTGTGTTGGACGCGAATGCTTCACAAGTCGAAGGTGCAAACAAATGTATACCTCTGATATCAATTAAGTTAGAATATGGATTATGTGTTGAGATGAGATTTTGAACTAAAAAATTATATTTTATTTATGAGAAATTGTCAAAAGCTATTTCCACGGTGTGACTAAATTGTTTGCAACGTTTGGACGTGTTGTCTATAACAAAAAATCAAATATATTTTTAAGTTTCAAACTTCTAAAATAGTTGATATAGAATCATAACTGTTATTGTTTTGTTCTTAGTTAATACTCTGACTTTCAAGGGCGTTTGTGAGGAGAAGGGCGGAGATTGGTGCAGCCTAAAATGTCAAATAGCAGGCGGGCGCGACGGTTATTGCAACAAAGGAAAAATCTGTAATTGCAGGCAATTGTAAGCTGAATGCTCCATGGAATTGGAAATACTTATAAATGTAAGCCCCTACATACATTGGGCATATGTATAAAATCTATCACAAAATAAAAACGGGTTTTGCTTATGAGTATTGCTATTTCCATTAATACGTGTTTTCAAATATCCACTCACGATTTATGGTGAATAAAATTAAATACTTGTATACATTGTGTAAAGCGGAAGTTCCAAATTTTTGGGCACAAAAATAAGGCATGAATAAATTCACATTCTAAAATTATTTTACTAAAAGTTTCTGCACATATATATTTACCTAATTGCATTAGAGAGTGTAGATTGCTTCCGGCGCTATCATTTCACAAAAATTTCTTTTTCTAAGTTATCATGTGCTATATGTGAATATATTATTAGATATACCCATATGATTTTCGTGCATTTGCATAGCGACATAATGAAAAATTAATTCAACACCACAAACATTTAAGCTTACGCACCTAGAGCGTTCGAACAATGATGGATCGGTATATATTGGTTCACTAGGGTCCTCAAATTGATGACTTGTACTGACGTTATTTCGTATCGGATTTATAACAGGCAGTTGACACATTCTAGCCAAATTCCTATTGCGAAAGTAAGATAAACCAGGAAAATAATGGTTAAAAAATATTCATATGCATGTGTATTTTAAAAATTGTGCATACCCTGTGGCAAATGTTTTATGCAGACTGCCACCAAAGATTGACATATTCGCACGAAATGCATTCGCGGTACGATTTGGCATTGCATTTCCGCTGCCACTAGCCATTTGACCGATCTCACTGAAGCGCTCGTGCGTGCGTATCGAGGACTGCCCTAGTGAATGTATGGGAGAATGTCGATCGGCAATTCGATTCTTCGTCATCGTACTCCAGTAGCGTCTAATTCGCAATAAACAAAAGAAATTACGTAAAATGTACCCTTTTCGATTCACTAAGTTTCCAGTAAATTTGAACGTACCTATAAGCTAAGCCGGATACCAAAGTAATGCTGAATAACAAAATCATAAGTAGTATAATTGCTGTTATAAGGCCATGATACTCGGAGGGTGTCATGCACACGGTCTCAATCGGAGCAACTAGCTTCCGTGGGTAAGAGTCTTTTTCGATTTCCTCACGAGTCTCAAATACCTTCACGAATGGAAAGTAAGAAAAAATATCATATTATTTTAATCATTTTAGTGTAGGTGTTCTTATATTAATAAAATAATATTGTCAGTAGCAAAAACAATAATAAACTAGCATGTATAGTATGGAAGTTCCCATAAGCATACAGCGCAAAGAGCTTCACTATTTGGGCGGTTTGCTTGAGATTTTTGTCCTGTGTTTCAAATTCGCTTTAAGTGCGTCCAATTATAAGTAAACAACTTTCCTGACCACATAAAACAAATTTTGCGAATGTCCCACAATCAAAAAGTTATAAATTAAATATCATCTAATTATACCACGAAATATAATTTTTATAAGTTAATATATGTACAAGTATGTATATAGACGCGCCGTCAATGGCGATACACCCCACACCATTGCACATCTACCAGCGTGTTTTACTGTTGCAGCAAGAATTTTTCTATTGAAGAAATTCTCTTACTTTCACTATACCAGCAAGCGTCCCTTGTAATTTAAGTTTTCGTTTGAAAAAATTACCTTTTCCCAGAAATCTAACGGCTTATTTACATATAATATTTCTGTGCAAAAGTGAATAATTTTATACTCTCGCTAAGTTAAACAGTATACTCGCTTGAGATTTCTTTATATATTTTGCTTGATTTGCATAGTGAAAAAAGAAAGAATCAGATGGAATTTCGCACTATAACATACAAGTACATATATAAGAGGTATATTATGTACCGAATTTGGTGGAAATTGGTTAAGCATATGACAAGATATGGGTTTTCACATAAAAGTGGGCGGTGCCACCCCAGAGTTAAAATTGAATGTCTTTGGCGTGTTTATTGCTTGATTTATCGCGCTTTTAGTAGTTTTTAATAGTACGGTTATATGGGGAGTGGGCGGAGTTGCCACCCGATTTCACCCATTTTCACACTGGCGATAGAAATGCTAAAAAAATTTGTTTTCAGTGAATTTAGTTATTATAGCTGCGATTTAGGAAATATGCCCATTAAACCTGTTAGGGGGCTTGACAACGCCCACTTTTTAAAAACATGACATAAACTGTATACCAAAAAACAGTCTTGTATCTTATTGTGGAGCTTGGTTATGACAATTTATTAGTTTTTCATGAATGGCCTCTTTCCGGTACCAAGAAACATGTGTACCAAGTTTCATAAAGATATTTCAATTTTTACTCAAAGTTACAGCTTGCACAGGCGGACGGACGGACATACAGTCACCCAGATTTTAACTCGTCTCTTCATCCTGATCATTTATATATATTGTATACAATATAACCCTATATCTAACTCGATTAGTTTTAGGTGATACAAACAACCGTTAGTGAAAAACAAGTGGGCAAAACAAAAAACAAAAAAAAAAAACAATAAACATAATGAGTGCTGCGCAGTCTCACCAACAAGGCCATAGGCATTCCTTGAATGTATATTTTAGTTTCGTGGAGTCAGAAAGATCAACGCCTAACAACAAAAATCAAACGGTGATAAAGATGAGTCAAGCAGAGTACACCGTCAGCAGAAGCAGCAATAAACAGCAATCGGGCAACAACAAACTTACAGGCACCAACAAGCATGCATGCGCGGGCAACAAAAAAAAAACAGAGTAGATGGTGAGAATATACCAGTTGAATAAATATAGTTTAAAAAAATTAAAAAACACGTTTTTAAAGCACTTCAAATTAAAAAGTGAAAAATAATTCATACATAGATTTGTTTTACTGAGTAACGACTCAAATGACGTTGCGAAGGGTGTAGTAATTGTAGAGGAAATCAAGTTACTAACTATAGGGGTTGACCTGTATATAAAGACCTGAAATCGAAGTTGTCGCTCGGAATTCATGCACGTCGTAACCAAATACTAAATATTCTGCGCAGCGAAATTAATCCTATCATTGATCAGAGTTCAAAGTCAGGCAATGTTAGCAATATTGTGGTCCAAGGGAGTTATGCTAGTGTGGTAAAAGAAAACACGGTACAAATCATTAGATTTCTAAATGAAAAAAATATAGATTTAATGCTATTATCAGGAACTCATCCAACAAACAAGAACAATTTCTTGCTACAGCCCAGTTATAAGCTATATATCTTTAAAAATCGCGGTAGTGACTTAAACCTGACGACTATATATTTACTACCCACCTATATTAAAATTAAAAATTGCTCATTTAGTACCTTAGGAAATATGTTAGATTTCTTGCAGGTGGTGATTCCAATGTAAAGCCTATGTATGTATGTATAGAGGCTTACGTCTAATTAATAATCACCAAAATTGGGTCTAACATCCCATAAAACGGATTGGTTAAAATATATAAAATATTATATGTTAGTAGCCACATTAATATTGATTACAAAATAAAGTCAAAAGGAGACATTGCTAAAAGCACTAACGAATTTAATGACATAATAACTAATGCAGCTGCCTTAGTAACTCCAAACAAAACTAACAAGCCGCCTGGTCTTAGAAGAATCACACATGCTGAAATAGAAAAGCTTGTTACTGAAAAAAGGCAAGCAAGACGTGAATGGCAGGTAAATCGCTTCCCTTTCACTCAACTGCAATTGAACTCTGCTGTAAGTAAATTAAGAAAAGTGTTTAAGTATGCTTAAGAATATACCACTGAAAATTATAGAAATAAAATGAGCCCAAATTCAACAAAAAACATAACTCTCAAAAACACCTTAGCCGCCGGTTGATTCCAACATGCCTATAGGGGACGTGAGAGGTAATTGGGTGTGAAGTTAAGAGAAAAAATCAAATTGCTTTGCCAACCACCCACCTTCTCATTTCTGACTAACTGCCCAAAAAACGATTTTAAGCTGTCAATTTTGCCCGACTCTGCTAACGAGTCGCTCTTACCTATTAAAACTACTAGTTGTGATTAGAAAGATCCTATAAAGTCATCTCATGCCATCCTAGAGATAAAATTTAATGTCTCTGACTTGTTTAGTGCTTGATTTATCGCGCTTTTAGTTGTTTTTAACAGTACCGTTATATGGGGAGTGGGCGGGGATGTCAGTCGATTTCCCCTATTTTCACAAAGTAAATAGAAGTACTAAAAACATTTGCTTCCAGTGAATTTTGTTATTATATCTTTAGCAGTTTAGGAGATATGCACATTAAACCTATTAGGGGCGGGACCACAGCCACTTTAAACAATTTTTTTAACTACAGATGCCCCACCTTTATGTGATCTTGTATACAGTCTTGTATCTTATTGTGGAGCTTAGTTATGGCAATTTTTTTGTTTTTGATCAATGGGATTTTGTGGACGTGGTACCAAGAAACATGTCTACCAAGTTTCATAAAGATATCTCAATTTTTATTCAAGTTAGACGGACAGACAGTCACCCGGATTTTAACTCGTCTCTTCATCCTGATCATTTATATATATATAACTTTATATCTAACTCGATTAGTTTTAGGTGATATAAACAACCGTTAGGTGAACAAAACTATTATACTCTGTAGTAACAAGTTGCGAGAGTATAAAAAACGTCAGGACATGATAAACACACTCAAAAAATGCTAAGGGAGCTACCAAGTATTGCTGTTGTAATGCTTTCTTCGCTTTTTAATGCAATTCTAAGTTTTAGATATTATTCAAATTCATGGAAAAAGTCTTCTTACGGACCAATAAGTCTCCTACCTTGTCTTTCCAAAATATTTGAAAAAGTGTTACTATCAAAGATGATTCCTTTCCTTCATGAAAATAATGCAATTCTAACGCACTAATTCGGGTTTCGTGCAAAGCATGGCACTGTAGAGCAAGTTCATAAATATAATTACTAACGAAAGTAGAAAGGCATTCGAGTAAAAAGAGTATTGTTCAGCAATATTCCTTGATATAGCTCAGGCTTTCGATAAGATGTAACAGATAGTTCAACCGGTAATAAGGTATCATCGATTTTTGCGGATCACACAACCATACTATGCCTTAATAAATGTTCCGTCAGATTATTAAGGGTACGAGGAGAGCATTTAGTTTTGGTCGAAGAATGGTTAGCCAACTGGCGAATAAAGGTAAATCAACAAAATGGTAAGCATGTTACATTCTCTTTAAGGCAAAAAATATGTCAGCCGATTAAAATGAAGAATATATTAGTACCACAGCAAATGATGTAACCTATCTTGGCATTCACTTGGACAGAAGGCTCAGCAAATTTAAACTGTAGAATGAGTTCTATCTACCATATCAGCAATTTCGCGCAAGGACTTTCCATAATTTCGAAAACCAAATAATAAAATTTTATTATTTTCTGAAAATTTTTTTTAATAAGTTAGCCACGAAATATGAGTTTTTAGTGGAAGATTCTAAGCCAATTCTTAAAACTGCTCTGCTTTCTAAAATAACTACGAATTAATAATACTAAAACTATATGATTTTTGATTCCGAGGATAGTTCTTCATCCCAAAACCCAATGACTTTAATTAGATATATTATATAATACATATACACAAAACTGAAATTTTAATTTTAAAGATAGGATTAAATTTCAATAAATATTCATATTTGCTAAAACTTACCTCAATCATTTCACGCACTTGCTCTGGTTCTTCTAACTCCTGATTAGACTTGTCATCTCTTGTATTCGCTACAAATGTCAAAAATATATAGTTTGTTAAATGGTTTTTATATCAAAACCCCTTACTTTTGTTGAAATCTCCAATTGTGCCTGTTACTTTGGTACTATTCACTTCAGAGAGTTCGTCAGTCAAACGTTCAGATACAGGTTCGGTATTTGGTTCGATTTCTGCAACATCTGTTATGTTTAGTGAACGTCTGCGACGTCCGAAAGAAGGCTCTTGCCGACCAGCTGCACCTGGACAATAAGCAGGTTGGCAACCGTCACGACAAGTGCGAACTGTAGCTTCAAATACAAGGAAATTTGACTCAGGTATTTTAAAGGCATTGAAACGCGCCTCCAATGTGTCCCCATCACGCAGTTTATCCAGCTCGGGAAACACATAAGGATCCACAGGGCAGCTATAATATGAGATATCAAAATACAAATCACTCAATATAATTATTGGCCACTCACCCAAATCTATCAATAAGTTGTATGCTTCTACCCGAGTATGGATCACGTGCCACCACATTAGTGGCGAATATATCAGTTACGTGATTGTAACCATCTTGTGCCTCCAGCCGGAAAGTCAGTGGATCTCCCACAGCTATGGTTGTGGTTGGGCGTCCTTGATAGAGAATCATTAGTCGGACTTTCGAACTTAGTGTATTCTCCGCAGGAAGGTATTCGATGGGTATGGGACTGCCAGATCTATCGGATTCAGAAAGACTTCATACAGAAACATATTGTTGCAAAAGCAACAAAGTCTAACAAAAAACACAAGTCATCTCGTTATGTAGATTCTTGGCTTTTCATATCACTTCGTTGTATTACACATAAAGCAAGTTAACGGGATTAGTGAGAGCTAATTAAAATTAATGTACTATATTGTGGCCATGACCATAATGAAACCAAAAAGCGTTGTCTCACTATGTGTTAAGCCTTATGAATAGAGATGGGATAGTCGATTAGCTAAGCAAATGTGCGGATGAACTAGTGAATGTGCTATGGGATTATCCCGTGCGTCGTAAACTTAGCTCCAAACATATATCAAAGAAGTATTCGATACAAAGTAAAATGTATGGCTATTGTGAGTATATATAAAAATAAGAAGAAGATAATTTAGTATAAAAAAAGTAAACGTCTAGCCATTTGAGTGTATAATTTATCAATTATATGACACGTATCTATCATATCAGAGAAAACTAAATGAAACTGTCGATGATTATCATTCAATTAAAAAACCGTTTAACTACCAAATATCATCTCTGCAATTCCGAGATTTACTTGAATATATGGTATATGTGAGTACAAAAATGCTTTAATTGTTCCCGAGTTGAAATGCGATGGAGGCTTAGACAAAACAATATATTATATGAGAACATATGCAGCGCTGTACAGAACAATACCTTTAGTATCTAACTCTGCAGATTTATATTATAACGAATTTTATTTTTTAAACAAATAGTACTCTATTTACCGCTTATGTTGGCAAACTACACATTACACAATTGTGAACTTCATATACGCCTACAAGTATGCTACAGAATTCTACGACTCTACAACTGACCACTTCAGTCTCTCTGCCTTACCCTGCACCAATATAACCGGAAGTGACTACTGCTTCCCCTGGTCCACGGAATACACAAGTTAAATTGTATCGTTTGTCACGACTGGTTTGCACATTATCGGAAAATTGCACAACAACAATGTTGGTCAGCGTGTCGCCATACTGTAAATATAATTTAATTGTTTGTTATGTGAAGACATTGTAAGTGTAGTTAGTGGGATAAAGAGGTTTAAAATTGGTTTACTCGTTGGGTGCCGCAATCGGGATAGCCTTGTGGACCGCTGATGCGTAGCACATTTACAGTGCCACCGTTGCCGCGGAAGAAGCATCTACAAAATTGTGACACATAAATAAAGCATTATACTGTCCAATATACAGTTTGACCACTGCACGTACCGGTCATAGTACCCGTATGTATAGATCCGTCCAAGAAATCCTTCCGGAGTGCGTATGGTGAATTCCATTCCCTCCTCGTTGCAAGTCTGCGTCACTGAAATTCTCATATGTTCAACTGTGTTCCCAGTTTTAAACACATTATCCACTCACCATCCATACACTCGCCATCACTACGACCCAAACTACGCTCGTAGTAGTCGTAATTAGCTGCATCGAAATTGCTTGGATCATGAACGTCCAGTTCACGTGAATCCCGATCACTTAGCTCACAATTGGGCATATCGCGTTCATCGTAGTTTGTAGCCGCCGCATCCCTGTTGAAGAAAAATTGATCTTGTTATTAAAGGCTCTTAGTGTTATCAAATGAAAGCTCATTCTATACCTGTAATTGAAGCTACGACAAATAAAGTCACGCGATTCAATGCACTCTCGTTCGCACTGTATTAGGGAGGGCACGACTAGTGACCGCCGCACATAGTGTCGGCGCATTTTGTGTCTTGCTGCGATTTGTTTGAAATTGTCAGTCTCTTCACAACGCGTCACTGGGGGCCGTGGTGGACCACCGCCGGACGTTACTGGTCCAATGCTTCCAGCTGCCCCATAGGGATGTAATGGTGGTGGCAAAGGTCGATTGTCGTCAAGTGGGGGCGGAGAACCCACGCCATGTCCATATGGACGATTGAAAGGACTCTCATAGTGAGGATAGCCGCTACCACCACCTAAAGGTCGTCTGCCAATAGGTCCTTCGTATTCACGATCATAGCCACCATAACGGTCCTCATAGTCTACATCATAGTAATGAGGTGGCGGACGTGGACGATCATAACCTAAATAAATATACTCAAGCAATTATTATTTAAGTTCCGATTTAAAAAATTTCGAGTTAACGATACAAAAGCCTTTCTAGTTTGTTAGTGTATTTAATTATTTGCCATGTTCTCACCTGGTCTTACGCCACTGCTGCTACCACTGCTACCTCGATTGCCATATTTATATATATCGATGGGGTAGCGGTCAGTACCTACCGGAAATCGATTTGGTGTAGAGGGGTATTTGCTTATAGTTGTGGGTGGCACTAAAGGTGCTGGGGGATAACGTTTAGCTGAATCTGGTTCTGGCCTTCGAGCAGTGTGTATTAAGTCATCTGGAGGATAACGGCTGTCTGGTCCAAATCGTTGCGGTGGTTGCAGCAAAGGGTCACGTGAGTCAATAGAGGAGGGGCGAAAACGTTTATCAAGGAAAAAATTGTCAGGGGCATCGCGTCCAGTGTAACCATATGTATGATCTCTTTCTGGTGGATAACGTGAAGGATATCTACTAGCATAACGGTCTTGTGGGTAACGGCTTGCAGTAACATAAGGACGATAGGGTAGATCATCATCTGGAGGATAAGGTCTAGTGTGAGGCAGATCACTAGATAATCCGTTGATTGGAGGTATAGGGTAACGATCTAGAGGACGGTGAGAATACGGACCCCGGCGTGGATAACCTTCAATTGGGTAACGATCACGATCACTATCGCGATCGCGATCTCGTTCACGGTTACGCTCGCCATAACGACCAGGTGGATAACGATCGTTAAAACCTGGATAACGTTCACGTTCACGATTATTGATAAGGAAACCGTCTTGATCCCCAACTGGATATCGATTTCGATCTCCAGGATAACGATCGCGATCACCACCAGCATATCTATCAAGATCATGCTCCCTAATAAGAAAATGATCACGATCCCGGTCACGGTCACGGTCGAATGGATGACGCTCATTAGGATAACGATCACGGTCTCCTGGGTAACGTTCTCGATCACCTGGATATAAATCTAATCCTACACCTGGATGACGATCACGATCACTTGGATATCGCTCTTGATCACCAACAGGAAGGCGTCCCGGTGGATAGCGTTCTTCATAGGGATCGCGACTGTCAATAGATGATGGGTAACGACCATCGTTACCGTATCGGTCACCACCGCCGCTCCCGCTACCTGGATAACGATCTAGGAGAGGAGTGTTAATAAAGTGTTAGTTGTTAGTTTGTTAGCGAGTATCTATGTGTAATTACATATACGAATTACAATATTAAAGGAAGTTAGAAATGAAAATTTAGTAAATGTATTACAGTTAAACATGAACTAACATTTATATTTGCATGTCTTATACCTACCATATTCATTAGGTATTGGATAGCGATCGTAAGGGCGCCCGTAATCATCAGCACTACCGCCAACAGGTGTTCCAGATCCTGTGGTACCGCCACCGCCGACAGGGTATCTACCACCAGTATTGACACCACCCCCCGTGCCATAACGATCGTCATCTTTACTGGGGGGCCGCCAATTAGAGCTTCCATGCTCACTTGGCCTGTGATTACCGCCATTGCTAACTCCACCGTGTCCATCCGTATCGCCACCGCCAACCACGTTTACTTGCATCAAAATAACACAATTCATTCGTGCATGAATCAGAGGAATAGAAAAGTACTGTGTTAACTGAATTGCACTACTTACACATTAGATTCTCGTAATAATCGTAGTCTGCGTCGTAAATAATACGCATGCCATCCTTTTGATTGTAACGACTCAAGCGGCAAGTGCGAAAGCGATCACTATAAACCGCCGATCTACGAGGAAAAGGTAAATAAATATTGACAACATCTACAAGCGTTAACTTGACAAGTTTATTTAATGAACTTGATTGAATCACCGAACTACATATTTGTTGTCCGCTACTTGGAATGCTAACATTGTTAACGACCAACACAATAGTAGTGACAACAGTAGTGACAGTTATGTCTGCTTTCCACTTCTTGTGCTAATTAATTTACAATCACAATTACAAATCCGGCAAGAAGAAAATCACAAAACATGAATGAATGCCTTGAACTGTGATTTCTTAGCACAAATTAATTGCTTAGCCAGAATGTCAAATATGTACGAGTATAATGGATAATTGGAAAAGTATACATTTTTTGCGTGAATTCACAGATACCTTCGATAACGTCACTAGAATGGGTCCGTTATTGGATATATAACATTTTTCTAAAGAGGAACAATCGCACCGAGGAGAATAAGGAGTCCTAAGATATATACTATGTATTATTTTTGTGAATCAGTTCTTGACCAATATTTTGTTATAGGTCCTTTAGCACAGTTTCGAAGCACACAAAAGTTGTTAAAATCAGGGTTTATATCTGCTTTGAAAATCGGATACGAATGCTTCAGCAATTCAACTTAATACGTTATATAAAGTTAGTTGATATCGATGATAGTATTTACATTCGTATACCAAAACCTTTATATGCAACAGAAAGTATGTATCAATTGTATCATCGACTTACCGACACTGGAAGCTAGTTTGACGCAAACACTCGTCGAGGCATTCACTCAAGGAGCGGCCAGTAATCTCGGAATGAAATTCTCCACCCAGACGTGAATTTCGGTAACGCTGAAAAGCCGTGTCGGGTCGGCGACCCGAAGAGAATAAATGTGATGTGACGGAATTATCGGGGTAATCAGTGGCACGTTCTGCAATGAGGTTATTAAAAAAGATAAAAAAAAATTTGGATAATGAAATATACAGAACAACAGATGAACAAGTTTTGTTTTTAAAATATTATGTATTGGCAGACGAGGGTATCTTTGCTATGATTGGGTAATTCTACAGTATTACATACTCTCTTAGCTTACAGTATTACATACTCTCTTAGCTTTACCAACACAAAGGCCCCTTGCACTTACGGTTGTCTAAGCAGACCAAATCGTAAAAATGGTGCGTCGGACTGGAACTTATACTGATGTCATCTTTCTGTGAAATAGAGTCCTCCTCAGACAAAATACACTGCTTCGTCTGATCATCGAACTCGACGGAACGACAGAAGTATCTGCAATTATATAACATGTGCTATGCTAATAATTATTTCATTATTTACACTAAGAACGACAAGTAAATTATTATGTAATTTGGTTGCTGTTTTCCAATTCTACTTCTTACTTCTCGGCGCGTAGACACATAGTCTGACATTCCTCCAAAGTCATATTATTGAAAATATCCACTTCGAAGGGACCGCCTAGTCGTTTGTTCTCCTCCTTAACGAACACAGCTAGACCGTCACAACGTCGCTCAGCTACGAAAAATTTATATTTAATTGCTTGGACCAGGTGTATACTTCGGAATATGTGTGTATGTGTGTGCATGTATATACGTAAAGAAGTTTTTGATAAGTGGCATTTGTTTTGATTTGAATGATTACAAGATATTTGCTTGGCCGGTTATTATATGAATGTGTGTTAGTAAGAGCAAATAGAACAAAATGAAAAGGACTATGAAACTGGAATTTGCATACCATTTAAGCAGGTGTTTTCCAAGTAATCAGAGTTGGGGTCATCTTCGAGTAATTCTGGATGTGTGCGACGTGTGAACCTGTTGATGGGAAGATAAATATTTAATTTGCAGAAGTTATGCTCAGTTAAGTAGAATGTAGACTCCTATTACTGAGTATTCTTAGATAAACAAGATATTTTATGTTGGCACAAGATGCAAATCCATCTTTCAAAAATTACTGTACAAAATCATCTCGTTTTTGCACAAGACCTTGGCGAGTTAATAGCCAATAATTCAATTATTTTTTTATGTGAATTAAAAGACTATATAGGTGTGCATCTTTATACTGAACCAAACGATATACATAGATTCATATGTAAAGAGCGACCTGCTTGTACCACTCACCTGCTTAACGTGCAGGAACGCATTGTAGAGTCGAAATTGGCGGAGCGACAAACGAATGCAAATTCATTTAAACACTTATCCTCACAATCCGAACGATTCGCTGCCGTAAACTGTATGAATACAAACTTGAATATGTTAACGATAAAATTGTTACAACTACTGAAAACCAAATACAATAATCATAGCAACAACAATGATAAAATAAAATAAGTAATAGTTATAGTTTGCTGATAGTCATCACACACACACACCTCCTTGACATCCGAGATTGGTAATTTCAATTTCTTGCGCGGATGCCGCTCAAACACATACCGCCTACTGGGACATTCTCTTTCCGGGCGATTAGCTACAAGTTATGAGGCGATAAATGCAATGATTTAATTATATAGAATCTAACGATCTCAAAATTGAGCGTGCCGCTCTGTGTTGGCACTTACAGGTCAAGCAAATCTCATTGAAATGCACACTATTTGGTACCAGCATCAGACTGCCGATGCCCTCAGGACCCGCTTGTTCGGATGTTAGGTAGCAAAGGGATTCTTCGTATTCGGAGGTGCCGCCGAAAGAGGTGATGCGACTGCCTGGTTGAAAGTCAAAGCTGGTGCAGGTGCGTACCAGGTTGTTGGTGCCGGTGCGATCGCGCAGACACAAGTCTTGACATTTTTCTAAGACTCGAAAGGGCGGCGCTGTGTCGCGCACTACATCATCGTCGTAACCCTGTAGTTGCTGGTTGGGCAGTCGTTCGTATAGAACGCGTCCTAAGCCATTCTTACACGTTGTTTGTGCTACGAAGGTTGGCAGACACAACAAAGTGACGGTTTAATACAATTGTGATATGAATAAAAGGGAATGCTCACCGTAACTGACTTGAAAGCCTATAATAAATACTATAGCTAAGTATATAAAATGAAATGTTTGTTTGGGGTTTGTCATTGTTTTAGTGAGCCTAATGAGTTCTGACTTTATTGTTCGTCTTTCCAATGATTCAATTGTATTTATTTATAAGACGGTCGGTGGTTCTAGTCGCATTTTTACGGATCGCATACTTATTATTCTAAACTGAAATTATAGAAAAATATATATATGTAATATATGTAAGTTTGTAAGCAAATACATACATATTTGATTGTATTAATATATACTTGTTATGGAACTCTTCTCTTCGCTCCGACTGCGTTGTTAATAGCGTTTAGGTTAGAAAATATGCTTAGCGACTGACAGTGGCGTACGGAACAGTACTTAACAACTCATACAAAATCTTCTCATTTTACTTTGTTGCCATGTAATCCAAAATTCTTAATCTATACTCCTTTACTTTAAAAGCTCTGGTCATTACCTATAGAAAGATCGCTATTTGGACTACTGATAGAAAATTCTCTAATGTTCACAATCAGACTTAAAGACCCATATAAATGGGAGGTAATACAAAGTCCTATCGAAAAGCGAGTGGATGGTAAATATTGAAAATAGACTTCAACATTTTCTCGGTGCATTATAGGACGACGATTCGGATTGGAAACATTTATAACAGAGTTTATTCTTTGTTAACCTTCTCTCTAACTGGTGAATAATATCACATCTACAGGTAAAGAGATGATCAACTTTTTTTATTGCAATTCGAAAGCCTAAATATCTATCCTTGATTGAAAGTTCGCTGTATTACAATAAAAAAAAAATATGTATCTATTACTTTAATGAAAAAAATTGAAATCGACGAGCAAAGGCACCGACAATATTGTATTTGCCATATAAATACATATGTACTTGTATATCATACGAATTATATCATACGACTTAGTAACGGGAAACAATTGTGGATACATTTTAAACACTGTTTTTACTATTCACTCTAACAAAATATATACCTTAGTAGTAATTTCATCATTAAATTCTTTTAATTCTTCAATTCAATTTTGAGTATACTACAACTTTTAATGTACTAGAAAAAGATTTTGACCTAAATAAAGGGGAATTACGACCATGTAGAATGATACCAAATACAAAACCAAAAAAAAAAAAAAAAAATGAATTAGCCACCAGCCACCGGCAACCCTTACTCTTATTACGTATGTACATACGTATTTTTGATACATACAAAAGCTGTTGAAACTATTGTGGGACATTTTGACATGCTTTTTTGTTGTTGCTTAACCGTCACTCGGTGGAAGCTGCTCAGTGGTCATTGGATGCACTATGCGTAACGAAATGACAATCAAAGTGATTACCATAAGCCAACTAATATGAACTGCTTTCATTCGTGGGCAACTCATTCCTGAGCTTGAATTCGATTTTACAGCGATCATCTGTATTGCGAACCGTATGGCCGGATGTTGGTTCCGGTTCGTTGTATGTGTATGTTGCATACTGTTTTCTACATAAGTGTGTTAAAAGTGAAAAATGTCATTCGTCACTTTGACATTTACTGTTGTGCACTTTTTCATTTGTTCTAGTTACTTTATTTGCTTGTTTTTGTTGTTATAATAGCCGCGTGGCATGTTTGCCACACGGCATTGGCGTTCGTTTTGACTGGATCACCCACTTTTTCCTACTACTTTCTATCTCTTGTATTGTTGGAGAATGTTAAAATATTCCCCTTAAATCGGAGTCAACACACTTTTGTAGCGTAAAGCCAAAGCAATAAGCTATTTATATGAAGGGTGTCAAAATCTCCGTTATAATTGAAATCAGTGCTGTAAACGTTATAATTGTGAATGGGTTTGTGATTAGTGGGAACATAAAACTAGATTAGAGTAAACATCTGTAACTTAAAGACGTTCATTTTAACATTGTATTTGTATTTAGAAAAAAATGTGGAAAGATTATGAAGTAAAATACCAGCGTGTTCCACTAATTGTTTGAGTAAGCGGCATATTAAAAAATATATGTTTAAAAGTCTAATGAAACCCTTCCTTTAAAAAAACTCATATTTGCTTACACAAATTATAACAAGAAGATGCCTACATTTCAATGTGAGTCCAAAATGTATTTCCACAACTTTTTTTAAATATCCGACATTTTGCACATTTTTTGCAAGCACACAATGCTATTATAACTACATACCAATTGGAGATTAAAGTATGTATTAACAGCTCATCGATGTTTGGTTTCTGGATTATTCTTATTCTAAGATCAAGATAATATTAGTCCAAAACCACCAACGCAAGCTCTGCTTTCCGATTTTTAAATTAGACTGTGATGATTTGAAGCATTTATTTGAACTTACTTTTATATATATTTTCCACAAAAAATCTTTAAGGAATCAAAGCTATGTTTGTTTAATTTCCTTCAGACAGCATGCTTTTCGAAAAGTTTTTATAAGTATCTTAATTAAAATAACATTGAACTTTCTTTGTTAAATACACCAATCCGTAGCGCGCGTATTTGCAACAAATCTCAGTTTTCTACTTTGTTCTTCACCATTTTCCTTTAAAAATTGTTATTTCTAAACGTCACTTAAATATTCGCAGGACCTATGTGTCAACTGTACTCTTTCTAAATTAATGGAGTAATTGTCCGGAAAACTCGACCGATTGCTGGAAAATCTCGCGCTATACTAAAAGTGTTGAAATCACGTCAGAACCCAAGTCCCTGATACGGGTGGTTGGCGATTTTGGGTTGGAGCCAACAAAGCATATGTCCATCAGCGAATAACACTAAACCAACAGCACTTGCGCACAATGAATAATAGAGTTTAATGTTACAATAACAACTAAAACAATGTAAAAAATAACGAAGCCAATATAGACAGAAAAATTAAAAAAATAATAATTAGATGCGCGCACACAATAGTAGCAAGTCAAAAATGATAAAATTACAATAAACGATACAAAAACCGAAATCTATTGTGATGCAAATCTGCCCTGCTACCACCACTAACATCACTCTGCAGAACAAACGCACGAACATGGTCGCATGATTGTCGCGCTGCTAGGCGTTGTTTGTGGGAGTTGTCGCCGACGCGGCCAGGTGCTATAACTATACCCCGAATACTAACGCATAGATAATAATACAGGCCCGCACGCACACGTACACAGCGGCAAATATTGCCACACACTGTTGCCAAATTACGACCTTACACGTTCACGGACTGATCATTTCGGTCCCTCCAGCGATTTCGCCGTGTGCCCTGATGTCATCGGACTATTTATTCTAACAACAGAAGTTCTCGAAACTTTACCACTATACACTGAGGTCTCTGAAAAGTGCGGTCTTTTTCTGTGAATATTGTTTGCGTTCTGAGTACAAAGTTGGCGGTTATGCTTCAGAGCCAGTCGCTGCAATGGTTCGCCCTCGGCAACAGCATACGCAGCGCGGCGGCTGCGTTGTTGGTCATGTTTGAATAAGCAACGCAAGCTTTTTGCTTCGACATTTGTACTTGGCTTTGTTTTTGTTATTTAATGCGCCTCCATATACATAGAACACTGAAGCGCTGTCAGACAGAGCTGTGATTGGTAGGCCCTAAACTCCACACTGCGCGTAAGATAAACCATTGCTTTGCAAACAGTCAATATGTTAAAAGGCGGCCAATATTGATATTTTTGCGACCGTTTGAAAGGTCAACGAATCCGCCATTAATTGGTGCTGCTGTGGGCAGAGCATGAAAATTTAACAATTTAATACAATTTTAATTGCAGGGACCAAATACATCAAGTTATAATTGTCATGAATAAACAGTATCGTGCAAAACATATGGCACTGGGTTGTCTATTATATTAAAGCTATTTCAAATTTTGTAAGAAGTTTTCAGCTTAAGTTCTTTATTGTCACTTAAATGCTCACCAGTATTGCCAGCATAAACGCTACCATTACGACGCCGGCTTCAATTAAAAGCAGTTTTGAAGCTGGGCAAAACACAAAAATGCAACTAGCTAAAGCTGTTTGTGTGAAAAATCTTTGTGGTGGGCATTGATTATTATGCCAATTAACAAATATAATGCAAATAGTAATTTCAAATTTTTTAATTTTTTAATTTTTTATTTTTTTGCTCGCTTGAGTTAAATATGGTTTTATATGAAATGAAATAAACGACGAGAGTAGTAGTTGTTTGAATTATAAATGTTACGTCCAAAGTTATCAAATTGTTATGTAGTCATCTTTCTCGGTTTAATTTTGGATAAAACGAGAAACAGAGAACATCTGCACTGGCAAATTCCGATACAAATAACACCCGCCCATCTGCCTCGCGTGCTCAGAATGTAAACCGTTACATTTCAAAATGTCCATAATTGTTGTGAAGAACCATGATGGTCAACTGACCAGAACTATAACTATTGTTCCTATTTTAGAGCAAACACAAATAAAACTGAAAAATCCATATAGAAATTGACAGATGGAAAGTATCATAAAATCATATATACTTACCTGCGTTTATATGTATATAACATATATATTGTAGTATATATTGTTGCTTTTTCAAAGTGTATATACATAATGTATATTTGCTTCTGAGGCTGCCGTTAACACCTTATGTGATTGGATGCCGACAGTTCGACAGACTACAAATGCCGATCAGCACACATCGCGCAGACCGGAAGCCACAGTCCGCTGCATGGTTGTTGAAGTTCAGCGCACCAACAACATTTTCAATACGTCAACTGTCGCTCACACCTATGCTTTGTATGTTTGTGCAAATTATTCCACTACAATCGGAGGTCAACTGCCAGTTAGCAGCCATGTGCATACATAAAGCCTTTTGATATCTATAGAATTTTGAATTTTTTCCTAGTTTTTTAACAAGCCCCAACGCAAATAAATTTTGTGTTAATCAGTGATCCAGAAAGTTTATTGTAAATCAGTAATGCAGGCAGAACGATATATAAAGAAGGCAATAATTATTTGAGAATGGAGATTTAAGAATGCTTAAACAGAAATTTCAACTAAATTGGGGACATTGTTTTTAAATTTTCAGTAAGCAAACAAACAATTATGTTCGAATTGAGAGCATGACCAATTATACCAGTAATTTTATAAAAACCACCTTCAACGAAATTTTTATTTGATATTAAACGCAAAAACGTGTGAGTGTTGAGGGACATTTTTTATCATTTTCACAAAGCATTGTGGGCTATTAAAGGTAAAATGAAATGATATGTGGGACGGCAGTCGAATGTGCGTAAATAATGCAGTGAAGTTATCAAACAGCTATCATAAATGGTTAGCTAAGTATATTACATGGTCCTTTACCATTGTTTATTTCCAAATTGAGCCCATTTTAATTATATGTTTCATACGCTTTCGAAAGGTAAAAGAAACCGTAGTTTCAATAGAGTGTGGTCTGTATATACACCCCTCCATTACACTTCGATGTTGTGTCGGAAAAGAAGAAAATGTAAATAGCTGCAAAGCGTTGTTTTAAATATAATGGCGGGGAGCCATAAGCTTCAGCGGTTGAAGCTTTCGTTTCCCCTACAAATTGAGCTTTCCTGCCACCAGTTACGCAGATTTATAGTACATATTTACAAATCACTACCAATAAACGGCAACTGTTGCATTTGCACAGTCCCGTCAAGACTTTGAAATAAGTTACTAAAGTAACCGATTGATTGTTGAAATAGTAACAATGAATTTGTGGTTCCTTACCACAGAACGAATGCGGTTTTAAGGCTCGTTACTCATGACAGCCAACCGAAAAATGCTAGCGAAATTATTGAAAGTGAAGACGAGAAGATTTCAAGTCGAAATTGGAAAGTCCTGAAACCGTATCGCCAAATCTATTTAGAAGCCACATTTAACCCTTTCCATTAAATTTGCTCAAATTTAAAAGTTTCTTATATGCAATCTTTTTGTGGTCTTTTCTTCTAATTTTGTGCGGGAGTTTGCAGAGATGCTGCTTTCTTGCATACTAATGTTCGTTTATTTGCTTTTATTGCTTATAGCCATGACTAAGGTAATCACTCATACTTATATGGGTTGCAGCACGAAGCTTTTCATTTAGTAGCAAGTGTTGTTATTGCCAATCGTAAATATTGTAAATGGCGTTAGATGTTGGCATACGTGATAGCTATTGTTGTTGCGTTCTCAGCCAATTATCATAGCTTCTCATCGTTCACCTTCACCTTGTGGCATTGCTTTTCTCGATGGTTGCGGGTTTTACGTCTGCGAGTTGTTTCCGTTATCACTTTTGCTACAATACATCAATACACTAGTTCACTATTTCCCATATCGCTAAGCTGATGATCAGAGATAGCTGATCCGCAGGCGTTCCAAGCGGTGATACGAGTCCATCGTCCATCGTGTTCTTTTTTATTCGTTGTTTTCTAAATGTACACAGTGCGAAATATACTTTAAATATACTGTAATTTTTTTTTAATTTGAAAACGTTATATGAATATTAAATTTTTGCTTACCCTTAAAATTTTACAGTAAAAAAAAGAAATGCGTATGAAATAAGATGTTATTTAATAAAAAATATACATGGAACCTTTGGATTCGCAGTGGTAAAATTAGTTTGTAAAGTCTTAATTCAAATTTCCCACTTAAACATGCGTTACTATGCAAACAGCTATGTGGTGATTTGTGTGGACTTCATTGGAGAATTCGAAATGTAGTTTTCTTTCTTCTTTACATACATATGTTTCTCACTTTCACCGCAAATGTCAAATCGAACAAATTGTAGTTATATTTGTGTGAACAAAAAACATAATAATTTCTACTTTATGGAGCGACTGTTAACTGAAATGTCAAGGTATTATTTCTCAAATCTATTGCTATTAGGTCGGGATATTTGTTTCATGTTAAGTTTGGTATCTGCAATAACTTTTTTCGAAATATTCTATATAAATAGGTCTATATAAGTTTTATCAGTTTATATTATTAAATATTGTAAGTACATGCCATCAAAAGTAGAACTTCTAAGTTCCCGATGTTTCAGGAACGAGCCTTGTTGTTGCTGTGCATTTTTCTTATTTGTTAATACCCAGCGTAATATACAATAGCAAGCAACATGCAAAAAAGAGAATGTTGCCTCGCGACTTCGATAAAAATTGGCGTGCGTGTGCACACATTTTTGCATAATACCGTTGAATGTTTAAGTATTGAATAAGGAGTACATAAGCGAAAGAAAGAACTAGAAAATTGTTGTGTACGCTAGAGTGGATGTGCATACAAGTGAATTGAAGGTGCCGCTTACGAAAGTGGCTGGAAACGGTTGATTGGGCTCATATATGGATGTACAGAAGAATGCTTGTGTATGTAAATTTGTGTAATATTAGTTTTAAGGTTGCCAACAAACTGTTATCGTACGGTGTTGGCGATCAAAAAAAGCTGTTTTCAGCTTAACGTCGAACGGAAAGCGCTGACCATCTCAGCCGCACAACCACAGTAATCAAGTGGCATCAACAACAACCGTTGCCGTACCACAAAACCTGTGCCATTAGTAACATTTTGCTGAACGGGGGGATTTGGGAGACTTTTGTGTATGTACATGGCGAAAAGGGGAAAGGGGTAAAATATGAACATAAACCAATACATATGTACATACATCCATCTACATATGCCCTGCAGTAAATACGACTAGCTCTGAACTAGGAAGGAACTAAGTAGCTCTTTTAACGACAGTACCAGTTTTAGCTTAATAAAGGGTGATTCATTTCGAGGTTCTCTACTATTGTAAAGAAAAAACATTGACTAAACGTGAAATTATCTGCTCACCGAAGTGTTCCCTCAATAAATCCATTGATTGATGCGATATGTGGGAATTGGGGCCGTCTTGTTGAAACTAA